CCCATGAAGTGGACTTCAATGAATATAAAGTGTGCACAATCAAGTCAAAAAGTTGTTTACAAAACCACCTCGCCACACACAGATCCACTCAATATATGTCTACAATTCATACTTGTAATTTGACATGTAGAGAGATGAGATGTAGAGTCTGGCAGAGAGGACAAGGCATGTTTAGCAGGTAATCTCAGTATCAGATTTTGGTCTAAACAATGCTGAATTGCCTAGGGGCTTTGACATTATCTATCTCCGACCACTGCATGCAAGGGCACTGAAACACCCTTTCCTTTAAGAAATCAGACTTGTTCTTCTGTTATAGCAGTCAGGTTGTCAGGACATCTACAGCTATCTTTTGCCAACAATGAACACAAACTCAGCCAAGCCTAATAAATTAAACTTTTTCCCATAGCCTGAGGGAAGACATGCTTAAACTTGCAGAATTACATGCCCTGGCAGCTTAATTTCTCCTTCTAAGAATAAGAGTGCAGATTGCTTTGTTTACAGCGTACACAGTGAAAAAGGAGGCATTTGGGAGATAAGTGGAGTTAACCAAGCAGCTTCTGGCCTGTCTTCAGAATTTAAGCAGAGTTGCATATTTGCTTCCAAAAGTATGCAGCGATAATCAGTGAAATCTGCTATTTTGAGGTGCACCTATTGCTGACACAGGCGTTCAACTGAGCACACAGCTTGCATAATCTCCATAGAAACCATTGGCAATTGAACAGCATGCTCTGGAACAGCCACACATGAGCCTAAAGTCACCCTGTCCTAGGAAAACCACTGGCTAGAGTGGTATTAAGCCCCCCAGCATTGGGCTGTAGAGCAGTGGAACTGCTCTCTGGAGTGAGAGCACCACTGAATACCTTTGGGTTGACCTAGAGAGGCATTTCATCCAACATCAGTACCTGACCTCACTATGTTCTTGTGGCTAAATGCAATCAAATCCTCACAGCAATGTTCCAACATCTAGTGTAAAGTCTTCCCAGAAGAATAGAGGCTGTTGCTGCAGCAAAGGGGCCACAAATGCATTAATACTTTTGATTTTATAAGACAGCCCAGATGAGCAGGTGTCTACAAACCTTAGGACACAGTGTAACACTGCTGGCATGAATATGCACTGCAGTGTTTATTTCTCCAAGCCAGTTATTTTGAATTTGTAAAAGTTAAAGGACATCTGTTGTGAATAAACTAGTGCTAATTAACAGTAAAGAGCTGGCACTGATCCCCACATTTCAATAAGCCTTTAATAACCAGAAGTACTGGCCGATCTATTTTAAAGCACAAGAGACAGAGGTTAATTTCTTCTGCTGCATGAAAGATCAGCACTAATCAGCAGCTATTTAACTGTCAGCAATATCCATTCAGTAGGTGAATCAAATTAGAGATTACCATTTATTTTATACGAACTGAAAATGATTAATAGTAAACCAAGTTTGGTTGCTGGCCATGTTTGGCTGTACTGCAGTAGATATGCAACAGCTTCTTGCTACAGATGCAAAAGTGCTGCTAGGTACCACATGCAAACTTCTGCTGTAATCACTAGATAGGCATAATCAAGGCCTTCATTTGCTGTATAATCCAGTCAGTCAGTCTGATTAGTGCCAGTAACAATTCAGTTTATATTCATGTGCACTACAGACTAAATGGTTCACATGATAGTTCTATATTCAGCAGTGCTAACCATTTTGTCGCAGTCCCCACTCTCCATCTCAGCAGCATAAGATCCTCAGGAGGGGGTAGCATGATTGTCACCCTTCATAAGCATCAGTACCTTATCTCCCACTGCAAAAGGTCTCTGCACTGCTGGTTTGTCAAACTTCTTTTTCAATATCTGCTCTTTTCCTTAGCAGCTGACCAGAGCTGACCTTTTCACATCGTACAAGACATTACTTTTAGATGGCCTTGTACATCATGTCTAGAGTATGACTGTACCTCTCTATGGCTCCTTGAGACTGCAAAGTAATGGGATGTCTGTGTTCTACTGCTGTTTCCTTTCTCAACACCTGTTCAGTTGAGGAGCTGTGACTGCTCAGTTTGTCCTTAAAAGTGCAGGTGATGGGTGGAAGTAAAAGAACTGATGGTTAAAAAAAGCCAAGGTCCATCTGCACCTGTGAAGGAGTGAAAATGAAAGTATTTATTTAAACTTGCAGGACACCAATTTGATTCTGATTATCACTAAACCAATTTATCATCTTAATTAACTTTTCTGCAAGTGTCTAGGGGTATGATTCTCAACTGGGGTGAGAGAGGTCCCGGGTTGCAATCCCGATTGAGCCCCCAAATTTTATGATTCCATGTTTTGTCTAGGGCGCTGAGGGGTCAGTAACATGTCGCATTAAAACACTGAACTGACAAAAAAGGGATAAAAAGCATGGGGAACAGACAAATTGAGCTTCTGATGCCATTTTTTTAAACCAGCCATAACAGTGCTGTGCCATGGCACTCAGAGTGGAAGAATCAAACTGCGCATGGCACCAGAGAAAAGAAAAGGAAAACAACATGCTTGACCACACTAAATAGAAAGTAAGCTACAGGCACAAAAACTGAACCAAAAGCTGAATACACTACACTTCCCTGGCCAGTAACCAAAAGAAAAGGGACAGTACTCGCCTGCCATCTGATTCAGTGAACTGAACAGACTCCTACATGGTGCAAATATATAGGCACATCCCACTTACCTGTTTGAAACACCAGGCGGTACAAATAATCAAGTAGCCTTGGGAGCCAGGTTGGGAGTGCACTGGTGAACTCCCAACATAAGCACACCCCTAACACAAGAGACACAGGCCCCTGTAAACAGAGTTAGGGAGTTTGCTGATAAATCCTCCAACTAAAACAGTCCTAACACAAAAGCTGCAATCTCTTGTAAAACAGAGATAAGTGTGCAGGTAAAATGCCAAAATCAAAGAACTCTTTCAACACAAGAGACAAATTCATGTATACTAAGTTGAAGGAGTACTGGTAAACCACCTAAAACAAATGCACACCCCTACCACACGAGATGAAAAACACAAACAAGCTAAACCACAGCACACATGTAGCAGCAGTCCCCTCTCTCTCAGCTTTCTTTTAAGACCTAGGCTCCTCCCCCAATTACACACGTCAGGATTCTGATTCCACAGGACGGATGGCAGAAAGCAGGCACACCTGGGGAAAAGAGAGTGAGTGGGTGAGTGAGTGAGTGAGTATGTTTAGGGGTCAGGGTCCAAACCTTGGGTAGGATTATTAAAATTGAGAATTTAAAGCAATGTAGAAGGGAAACCCTCAAAGACGAAATGAAACCCTAAACTCTCAACCCAGCTAAAAGTAGCTCATATTAATATACTTCATGTGATTTAAAATAACCTATAAGCACTGGGAACACAGAATTCAAAGGTCTTCAAGCTAAAGATACAACTATAAACATAAACAGTGGACAAAACAGATTCAGTTATGACTGTTCGATTTTCTTGACTCCAAAAATGAAGACATAGGAAGAGATTTGGAAAAACGAAAAACAATATGCAAGAAGTACCTAATACACTATCATGACTGATGTTATGAATGCCAGGGGACCACAACATATTAACTTATTATGTTCCCACCTCAGTGGATCCACAGTAACACATCACTTTAATTACATGATCTATTTGATCTTATCAAGGCAGCATCTGAGGAGTTAATGCTAGCTAAATCAACAAAACAGAATCCTCTGTCAGCGCTTTTGGGTGGGTAGATGTTTCAGCATTCGCAATGCTGTTTGATTGTATGACACTTTTTGTTACGAATTACACATAACTAAAATGACAATGTGTGGAAACTCTTGATTCCCAAATGCCTGGAACTGACTCCCAGCCCTAGATTCAGTACTTCTAGTAAGAATATCTTATTGGTTATAAGCTATACATACAATGGCTCACGAAAACTGTCAGTAGGGCTTACAGCGGAGCACATTGATGATGCCAACAGGATGGGAGAATTCCCCAAAACACTGTTGAAAATGCTGCTATGCGCCCGTAACAGCAATTAGCTCAGCTTTGTCTTAGGCTGTGTCCAGGTAGACACACACACACACATTTTCTAAGCTGCTTATCCTCCTGGGTAGCAGTGGGAGCTGGAGCCTATCCCAGCGGTCAATGGGCAGAAGGCAGGAGACACCCTGGACAGGTCACCAGTCTATCGCAGGGCATGTGTCCAAATAGAAGAATAAAACTAAAACTAGTCCAACTATTAGAATTAAACTAGCCTTTCTGCTTTCCTTTACTTTGCCTGATTTGTTAGCCGTGTATATTCACATGCAAGTCTGCTGGGCCAGCAAAACAAGGGGCCTGTTAAAATGCACAACCATGCCCCTTCCAGTCATATCGCAGCATATTCTGGACTTTTTTCAAATTCAAATACAAAATCATATTTGAAAGTGCTCATTAAATTGTATTCTTCCCATGTGAGTGTGCATCTTTTAAGACACAATTCAAATTCAAATGCAAAAAAACATGTATTTTCAATTACATTTCTGTGTATAATGACTGGAAAATTAAATATGGAAAAGCAAAGTCCTTTTGACACTTCATTTTTAATGTCTTAATGGTATGACTGGAATAAAAAAACGCCCATTTGCAATTGTATTTCCTCATTATGGTGCTCCAGCTCTGCCAAAACGAAAATGTATTTGCAGCCCTGTTTACAGTCGCATTTTCACTGTCAGTGAGGTACTCCTGTCTATCAAATGCTGTGGATGGAACATCAGAAGGGACACCACAGAGACATGAACACCTTTATCTTATTTTTTGAGGGTGTGTGCTTTCAAACACGTGGTCTATAAGTGCTTATTGGATGGAGAGATTGCAAAACTGCAGTGCAAATTCATGTTTTCATTAAAAGAGAGTTTCACAGTGCAGTTGTAGCTTACCAAACCCAGATTCCAGCCATTCTCTGAGGCATTCATATCAGCTTCACTGAATGTTTTACTGATTGCATATCAGAAAATATGCCATACATGGGAAAAAAAAAGAAAAACTCTACACGAGTATTTATGGCATTTATTGGACTACATAAAAACAGATTTCTACATTGGTATCAATCTCCAACTAACAGAATACACTACATTTACGTTAGTATGGAGGTCATAATATGATTCATGATGATGATGTTAGTTCAGTGGTTCATTGGGGAACTGATTAATGTTTGCAGATATTAAGTCCAAGATTTGACAGTCTGTGTTGATTTATTCTTAATGCTGAAAGCATGGGCCTGTGATGATGATCCTTATACTCAGTGATCTGAAAGCCTAGTAAATACTAAACACAAAAACAGCAACATATTTCCAGTTCAAAATAGAAAGTCACCTAAACCACTACCAAACACCAACTACAATAATTTAATATAAAATAGAAATGATAAATACTTAAAGAATGTGCGCAGAGCTGTGCCTCTCTTTGTGAGCAGGGATTTTGAGGATGAAGAGTGCTTGCTCTTTTTTGAAGTGATGAGTCATCCTAGTCTGGAGAAAGGGATTGTTCTGAAATCCTGAATTCAGGCTGTCAAGCAAAGAAAAGTTATTCTGCAGCTTCTCACGACAGCTCACGTCGTTGCAAACGGAAGCACTGCATGTCCATGTTTGTCACTGTGTGAAATGAATCAGTGTGGTCATTTTGTTTCATTTTTAGAATATCTTTTTAAAATGCCACCGGCCCCATCCACTGGAAAATGCTATATGTCACTGTATAAGCAACCTCAGCGTAACTGTAATGTTCCACACTTCAAAACTAGCTTTACCACCAAACACAGAAATATACATTAACATCAATTCTTATCCACCTTCTACAGTCTAGCACACTCCAAACCAAACACCACGGACAAGATTTTCAGACACAGTCAAGGTCCTAGACTAAAAAAGGCTTTTCATGAAGGAATTCTCACTGACAATGCGGTTTAGCCTAAGGGTACACTCTTCACTCTTAAAGCTTCCTAAATGATTCCTAAAAACAATAATTGGTGTAGAACCTTTACATTATGTGGAGTCCTTTAAACTGTTTAAACTGTTCTTCACACTCACATTTCCCACTATTTAAACCAGGTTCTTTAGGGAACCAAAAATGTTTTTTTCTATGGCATCAATCCAAATGGCTGTTTAGTGTTAAGAGTGGATTCATTTGTGTCTGGAAAAGCTTCCTTACATGGTATCACTAAAACTCAAACATACCTCATTTACTTTCATTTACATTTCGTAGTTCATATTGTAACACAATGGGCAAAATAACTCTGAAGATTAGCTGTAAGCATGTGTGCAACCCTGTGGTCTGTAGAATCAGTTCAGGGTATTAATGTGTTCCCACACGACCCTCAGTTGTCCCGTGTGTGTCTGGGCGCCCGAGCTTTCCCGTGGCGCTCGGCCCCTTGAGAGTAGCGCCACTTGGGCGGTAGGCCTTTAAGCTTCTTCCTCTTCCTGTCAGAGGCGCACCACACTCTCTCACAGTACTGCTCCACTCGCTGGAAGTTACTGTAGCCAATCAGCTGCATAAAGTCTTTGTACCAGAGCTTGGTGGCAGAAGGAGCTGAAGGCAGGCTAGGGAAGGGGCAGGGGGGAGATCTGAACTGGACCTCCTTCTCTTCATATTCTCCTCGATGGAACAGGCTCTCGACCCGTTCCTCCTCCAGTACCTCCAGAGTGACCCTTACTATGGTCTGAACAAAGCCATGCTCTTCGGACTGGCACACGTATACACCCGCATCAGACTTCTTCGTCGTCAGAAACAACAGGCCGTGAGGTGTCTGAATAATATGCTCGTCACCTTTTATCTGAAGATGGAGAAAGAAATTAATAGCATTATCAAATATAAAACAATGCTACATCAGTTATCATAATGCATCACTAAATGTAGCAGTATTACCAGAACAGGCCCACTTTGTAGGTCCACCTTGTAGGTGTTCAAAGAGAGACTCTATCAGTGGTCTTCAAATCTGGATCTGAATGCAGTTACAGTCCTGGATTTTGCAATCACTCATAGTTAACTGGGCTTGGTTGCCTGAAAGCATCTTAGGAAAAAAATTATTCTTAAATGCTAGAGCAAGCATCACACTGAACACTCTCTTTACCAGTTAAGATGATCTTAACACTAAGATGCTTTTACCTGCCAGTGATTGCAAATTCCAGGACCGGAAACTGGTTTTAAGGGTCAGGATTTGAAGACTTCTGCACTGGCTCATCTTTTTCCATGCACAATTTGTGTTAGTCATGCTCTATCTCCTTTCATTGGTCACTTTCTGACCCTAGTACCACTGCTGGCTGGATATTTTTGTTCACAGACTATTCCTGTCCCAGCAGCCACACTGAAGTGTGTAAAAACCCTGGCAACATTGCTGCTCTTGATAGACTCATATCTGCACAACACCCACAAACATGCCACTACCTGCTCAGCTGTGATTCTGTGATGGTCCCTTTCCAATAATGGACGTTCAGGGGAGCAAATAAACTACTGCAGTAACTGATGGACTACAGTTATTAACTCTAAATCCACAAGTGCACCTACATGTTAAGTGCGCCTAAAATGACCAGCAAGTGAAGGAACAAGGCAGGTGTACCTAATAAACTAGCAATAAATATTAATACTTCAGAGATGTCTTAGAAATGCAAGTAGCACAAAATAATATGTGTCATCAGTAATTTTCCATATTTATTGTTTTTCACTATGGGTAGGATTAGCCAGTCTCCCCATAGTTTGTGTGCAACCATTGTGAAAATGAAGCTCTAAAACAGCTCTTCTATAATCTGAATAAGTGCTAGTCATTCTTTTACTTCTGAAATGAAAATGACAGATTACAGTTCTCAATATTACTCAGAAATAATTTATATATACAGTACTGTGCAAAGGTCTTAGGCACCTAAGCACATTATTTAAAACCATTTATCTTGGCAATAGGTCTGTTTTTGCTTGTAAAAACATCCTACTTCATTAGAATAGATGCAAACAAACACAAACACAGTAAAAGTAACAAGGATTTCTTATATATATCGCGATATCACGGGAGCTAGTTTGAAGAAAAAAGTTTGGTTCCAGACTTCTCTTGGACATCTCCAGCCATCTTATAGATCTTTTAAATTCCATCAGCAGTACACCTGATTTCATTTAATGAAGGACTGATTAGAAAAAACAGGTACAGGATGATAACTACAAATAATATTAGAACTAAAATGCAACAATGTATTAACTTCTGCTTTGGTTCAGATGTGCTTAGCATTCACACTAACATATTTGACATAGAACCAAATAATAAACACGCAAGCGAAACAAGTAAAAGGCCACAACTGACTGGTAGATTTTATGATGTACAATTACTGTGACAATGACCACCGAACTTTCTGAATCATGCTGTTATCTGTTCTGTCTGGGCCTGCTGGTATTATTTATGTCTTGTGATTTTAGAGCAATAAGCCACAATACTCCCTGTGTTACCAATGCAAAGCAGGGTTAAATCTCTGTCCCTTTTACAACATGGAGAAACCCTGGTGCATTAAAACATAGTATAATTTATGTGTACAGTCAAATGTGTACATTGAGTATTTTATAATGACTTCAAACAGGCCTCAGCCTCATTTTAAAATCCAAACTATTCACTCTGTAATTACCGATTCAGAGTTCATGATGAGATGATAAAATACATTCGCGTGTCAAAATAACATGCACATGTCTTTTCAACAAACCAAAGATGTTATGTAGAGAGGAGACAACAGCTCATTCTGGTTTTGGTCTGTTTAGATGTCTTTGGTCTGTATTGTGTTCATATTTCAAATGAATGGCACTAGAGTTCGTTTTCAAGTGAACTGAGTCCGACTTGCTTAGAAGGTCTTGTTTCACTTATTTGGTGCACACCAGAGTTCAAATTGCAGTGTTCTAACTCGCTCTAGCGAACCGCACTAACAGAGCACTCGCACCAGGGGTTGTTTTAATCTAACCAAACCTGCTAAGTCTAAGTCCCTTCACCCATCTTTGTTTAGATAATGTGCAAGATGCTCAGCTTGTCCTTAAATAACATAATTCTGTTGTAAAGAAATGTTTCTATGAATATGGGAGTAAATGATTACATACCTCCTCCATGTCCAGTCCTTTCAACACGTACCAAGTGAGTAAAGCCTGCAGGGATCGGGGTCTACACTCTAACAGAGTGCTATTTTTCTCCACACCGTACACCAACTTCTCTAACACACTCTGAGCGTCTGAAACACACACACATACATATGAACACACACACACACAATACTGAATGATAGATTTTAGAAACTCACTCAACACAGCATCTCAAATCAGAGAACAGCAAAAAAGTTTGTACTGCTGTGTAAGGGAAATTCTGTGAACTGAGCAATGAAATAAATGTCTGGCAGAATCTCTCCCCCACACATATTATTAGTCATTTTATGACTTGTATTAATAGAGTCTGGGGGCAGATCTGGCCTCAACTCTAACTCCAACTGCCTCGCTGATCAATTGAGAAACTTCTAGCACGAACCATTCAGCTGGAGACCGTTACACTGCTGAACAGCATTGCCATGACGGACATCCTGCCTTCTGAAGCGCCTGGAGAGAGAGAGAGAGAGAGAGAGAAGAGAAGAGAAAAAGTGAAGAGAAGTGGTAAGAACTCCCTCAGCGTAACAGAACCCAACCTTTCTGTCTGACACATTTCATAACACCCTGTTATTGACTGCAATGTGAAAGCAGCAAACATCGCAGAGAGGAAGAGAGAGAAGAAAGAAAGCTGAACGAATGGAGGGGGGAGAGTTGGAGTGAAGGAGAAAAAAAAATGTACAAATGGAGTGAAAATAGGGACGAGAGCAAGAGAGAGAAACAGAGAGGGGGAGAAATAAGAACAGACAAAGAAAAGGAGAGAGATAGGTAGATAGAGAAAGAGAGAGACGGAAAGAAAAGCAGATAGGCAGAGCTAGAGAGAGAGAGAGAGAGGGAGAGAGAGAGAGAGAGAGAGGGAGGGAAAGAAAGAGAGATAGGCAAAAAGAGAAAGAGCCTAAGACAGAAGACAGAGAGGGAGTGAGACAGGAAGAAAGAGAGGCAGAGGCAGATAGAGAGAGAAAGAGAGATAGAGAGAGTGCAAGTCAGAGAGATACAGCGTCACTCCCCCACTGCTGTTTCATCTCAGAGAGAAATCATTTGAGAGCAGCTAATCTATTTTGTCATTATCCCGAGCGTGATTGCTCTGACTGGTACTTGGCGCTGATTATTTGCGATTTCTCCGTCTGGCTGTACATACAGAAAGAGAGTGTGACGGGCATTAGTATGAGTGGGAGGTGTTAGCATAAAGCGCTAACGGGTTCAAGCTGATAGCCATGCAGGGAGAACTGACAGTGCTTTGAGTTTGATTAGGGAAACACCCGCAGTAACCTTTCACTCTGATGAGCAGGGCAAGACCAACACAAACACATACACAAACAGTGCACTAGAGTGAGACATCAGAGAGCCTCTCTGAGTAGCACAAACTCAATAAACTGACACATCAGTGACTGATCAGATGGAAGGCTAGAACCTTCGTAAGACAACTGTGCCAGCAAACAAGCACACAGTGATGCAGAAGGTGACGAGTGGGAGACAGCGCAGTGAGGATGAGATGGCAGGAGGTGAGGTGAGACTTCACGCTCTCTCATCACGAGCACGTTTCCATCTTAGCCTGTCTATTGGCTGTAATTGAAATCCTGTGCGCCTTTTTTTCTATGAAGCACAGCAGTGTAGCATTTGGAGCAGGAACATTTCCATGTCTGCATTCATAAGTATGTGATCAGAATGTGTTTGTCTGTGCGCCTGTATGTGTGTGAATGTGTGTGTATACCTCTTTGTGTAAATGCCAGCAGGGTAGTATCTAGAGCAGGTGTGTCCATCCCAGGCGCAGTAGGGGTCTCTGGCCAGACAGCAGTCAGCACAGGCTGAGCCGTACAGACCACACTGATGCACACGAACCTGAGCCACACCCAGCTCTGATCCAACATACAGCTGTTGCTACAATAATGTAAACCAAGTCTGATCAATGGAGTTCTTTCAAATGATCACTGTGTTAGAAAATAAATATTATTTACTACAATATACTATAATCTAATCTAATCTAATCTAATATAAATATTTAAGGTAATAACACTTTACTTGAACCCTGCTACATGCCACTGACATAACCATCCCATAAAAATGTCAAGGCAGAAATCATATGCTGTTATGAGTTGTCATGACAGATTATGTCCAGTAATATTACACTGTCATGTTACCATTATAATTAAATGTTATGATAGACATCATAATGTTTGATGTAATGACAGCTAACTAAAGTACACTTAGTAAAAATGAGCCATCAAAAACTATGGCATCTTGTCATGACAAATAGTGATAGTTATGTCATGACACTTAATGCCAAAAATTTTCACGATAACCTATGACAGCCATATGCAAAAGTTTGAACACCCCTGGTTAAATCATGTTTTGTTGATTTTTTAAAGTGAAAGTAAGTTAATACACCCTCTACAAGAAACTGAAATGTGTTATTTACTGCCCAATTTAACTGCACCATTTCTATTTATTTGCTGAGTTTAGCATATAGGGAAGAATATATATATATATATATATATATATAAAATGTGCCTTTGCACAGGCCACATTTTCTGTTAGATTTTCCTCCAACATGTTAAATTCAGTAAATATGAAATTGAAATTGTGCATTTAAATGTGCAGAAGTTTGTTCTCTTGTGGCATCGGATTGAGCTTTGGCTACCATGATGCTGTCTGTATTTAGTTCTCAAATAGTGATTAAAGGTTTTTGGTTGCATCTTCGAGGTTGTGATGTTAATGTGGAAGGAGTGAGTGAACTTTTGAGCAGTTCTGTTTGGTGTTGTTTGAGAGCGTGAGCTACTTTTATTCAAGTTTGAGTCCCGATTCATATTCTCAGTGAGATTCTGTGACATTGGACAGTGTGCCTGATGGCTTAAAGAGCATACATCCTCCCTTTGGAAATGAGAGCAATTTTTCTCTCTTTTACTCTTGTTGCAGTGTCACTTCTAAATAAAGCTTTGTCATGGGCATGAACTTCAAGTTGTCCAGGCGTCTTCTGTGCACACCCCCACACTACAAAACATGTAATGTGATCGGGGTGCCCAAACTTTTGTATGTGATTCAATGACATCTGCTATGACATGTTAATGGCATTGTTATAACAGTGTTACCGTAATGAATACGATTTTAAGCCCCCATATTATTAATTTTCTTAATAATCTTTCAATGTTTTGAGCATTATGGTCTCCTTTAGGCAAACTATGAATGTTGTACCAACAAATAATATGGGAGCTTGAAAATGTGGTAACACTTCACTGTAGGCCATGTTCTTGAGGCTACATGACACCCATATGAGCCTTTCATGACAACTGACATAAACCTATATAGACATTTATAAAGAGCTATAAAGGTGTCAATTGACAACACACTTCCTGAAAGGATATCAAAACTGACAAAAGCAGCCTTTCAGACAACTGACACTTGTTAGAACAAGCCGGGTCCAATCATATCTGCAAATGGCCACTGTGGCTGCACGTTTCATTGCAAAAAAGCAGTTCATCAATTGTTTGAACTTACTACTTAAACATGTAGAATCAGGTGAGCTTCAGCCTGTCTGTAATGAAAACCTGTAGCCACACTGGCCCTTTGTGAATAAGACTGGACACTCCTGAAATAAGCCTTCATAAATGTTTATGATTTATCCCATATCACAGTTGATCACTTTCATCTGTCTTCTTGCCTATTTTTCAAAGCAACATGTCCTAAAATTTGATTGCTCAATATCACCATCTAATGGTAAAGATAAACAGTGCATTCTAGGACAATATTAGTACAGTTAGCAGGTCTCTGATCAGAAAAAGAAAGTGTCTTACTCTTTTAGTTGAGATGATGATTTCTGTGATGGGTACAGGAACCTATGAGGAAGAAGATTAAATGTTTTCATAAATATAAGTCCATATTGTTAATCCAAGATGGCACTAAATCACTGTTGAAAATTTACCTTGAATACTTGTAACTCCTCCAAAAGCACTTCTTCAACTGTGTTGGCCTCCTTGTTGAAGATGGTGATCACTTTTAACACAACTGAGTCATCTAAAAAAGAATAATTACTTGATTATTGTAAGAAAGATTATATGTATTCTTATTTCTGTATTAGCTGGAGAGAGGTTAAGTTGTGATATAAAGATATAAAGTATCTAGGTTGTGGTTGATGTGTGGACCAAACTGCAATACCTGTGCCAATGAAGAGGACATTATAATGACCATCCTCTGCCTCCACTCTGTCCACAGCAAGCTCAGTGAGCCTGCGTCTTCCATCCGTGTCCAGCAGAATGGGCCGCCTGTGGACCGGCTGCACCGGCTGGAACATGAGAGGATGGGAACGCACAAATCGCAGAACCTCATCAGGGTACTCCTTAGAACTGGAGAACTGACCCCCATTAATCTTACTGGCACACTGAGAGGCAGACAGAGAGAAAAAGACAAAAATAAATCCTGAAAAACTGAGGAAAGAAACTGAAGACGACACTTGGGCATTTCTCAATACTTGTGATCTCTGGTTGGTCCATCAGATTTTTCAGTGTAACCTGCCTCTGAACCTCTTGTGAATTCCCATATCTGAGACTCCAGCCAACCATCACTATAACAGGCCAAAGTGTAATCTTTAAAATCAACCTGATCTCATGGAGGATTTATAGGAATAATAACTAGTGATAACAGATTTTACACAACTTATGCACTTATGCAAGAGTCATACACTCTAAAAAGTAAAGGTTCCTTAAATGTTATTTGTCATGTTATGCAGTACTCTGCAGCATTACATTCCTCAACCTCACTGATTTAACTGATTTGACAGAATGCAGTTTTATTGTTCTCATGTTTCTGTTCATCTATGTCATTTCACTACAATACCCAGCATGCATTGTGCAATACATTATACAACCCTGTGCAGCTAACCAGTCTTGATTGGTAGCCACTGATCTACAGGCTAATGAATATAACAAAAGTTACCATTAGCCTAACTCTTACTAGATCATCAAATAAACTCACGAAGACAGAAAAACAGTGATTGTATTTTTTTTCTGCATAAAATTGTTGTCCTCTTCATCTGCGGAGTAATTACTTTCATTGTAATGATGATTTCAAGACATTTCAAGATATTCTGCTTTGCAGCAGTGGCGTTACCCATCTGCCTTCCTTCTGCATGCATTCACTGGCTGATGAAAAAAACACAACAGCCCAACCTCGAATTTCTGTCCTAAAGCAGTTGTAGTTTTTCAAATGTTCCTATCACCTTCAAGATACATCAGAAGGGGGGTTTTACTTGTCTTTAAACTAGACAAACTAGTCACTTTGGAGACTACTAGCACCACACTAGGATACAACCAAGCATACTACACTCAGAAGTATTGCTTGGATGGTTATGATGCTTTTATTTCTGAGGCTAATTTTGTTACAACAAGGAATAGACTGTCTTGTTTCTGTTTAACATTTTAGAACAAGAGGATTATAAACTCAGTACTTCTAAGCAAATGTGCTAAAACTGTCTCCTAAAAGGTCAGAACTCTTCATGCACACTCACAAGTCCTAATACTCAAGTGTACTGAATGTGGGCTTAAAAAATGACAGTTTCAACCTCCCTACTATCTGCCTGTTTTCTGCTGTTTTAGAGATAAGTTTAGAGACTGCAAGAACATACAAAGATTTGATGCTGCGTAAGTCATTCTGAAAATAGACCTGCAAAAGTTCTGCTGCTCACTGGGGACAAAATGTGACACAGAACAGCCTGACAGCTTTCTGAAAACTGTGTGTGACAAAAAGAACGCCATATTTATTATTTGGAGGTCCAGGCTATGACACCACAGTACTGCATGACAAACTGTGATGAATGGTCACCTCCAAAAAGCATGCAATGCTTAGACAGCTTCCATGTGTGACTCACAGATCCAGGGCGAGGGTATGGCACTTTCCCTTCATACACACTCCAGTGGTGGTCAGCGCGCTCCCGGTGGGCAAATGGCCCATTAAAAACTGCACGGATCTCCTCCATGTTATACATACACACTGCATAACCTTTAAATACCGCACTTGGAAAAAAGAGAAGAAGAGGAATAGTTTGGCCAAAAAAGATAATGTTGCAAGCAATTAATTAAAGTGAATATCCACCGGTTAGCAAATGGAGTCATCCTAATAGGTGGTTAATAGTTTTCATTGGTTGTTAGCCATATTAGCATGTTTAATCTATATTTGGTTTATATTTGGTTGGCTCTATACACTATGTGACTGTCAAAGGAGAATTCCAATCATTTTTTTAAAAAGTTCTGAATAATTAAATCAGATGAGATATAAACAAAGTCATTCGGAGTGGTCTGACGTGAAGCAATGCAATGTAGAGAAACTTACCAAATCGGATTTCTTCAAAATTGTTGGTGATATGCACGAGGAGTTGTGACATCTCCAGTGCAAATATAGCCATTTTAGCTATCCAAAACAATCTGTGAACCTTACTGTGTCTATGGCATTTTGTAATGTAATGCTGAGAATTGTAAAATAGTAGTAAAACCAAAATCAGACAACATATTCATAATAATTTCATGTAATATCTTCCTGTGAAGTAGCATTTAGAGGCATTAAACGTCAATATCTTCGACTGTCTGGCTCAAACTTGCTCGATTTTACTAGAATGCAGCTTTTCGCATCAAATCACTCTGATTGACTTAGTTTACATCTTGACAATTTAATTAATTTGAAGAAACTGTGTTATTCCTCTTTAAAGTCACTTTACTAGACTAGATAGGGAATATGATACAATAAATATACTACAGACGAGAGAGATAGTGAAATATCTTTACATGGATCCAAAATAACAATGAGTTCTATACATATCCTCAAACTTGTACTTACCTGGTTGTGCTGAACAAGCCAAAGATTTCAGGATTCTTCTCATCCTTCTTCTTCAGAACAAACACATCCTCTATACATACACACAGCCACACAAACAGATGATTATTTGAAAGGGATCTGACTCTCAAACTAAGCTGATTTATCAAATACTTTTGATACTTTTCGTCTGCTTTTATTTTTTTTCATTGTGTGATTACATGGCTACTAGACAAATAAAATGTTCTGGCATTACTTGGAATAATAGGCATTGTATAAAAAAATTTACTATAAAGTTGCCATTTTGAAGATATATGATTTTGTTATGACAGCAATGATATACAGGTGAGTGAGGAACATCCATCAGTAAAACCACACTATGAGGTGAGAGGATTTTGCTTCTATTCATACATCTCTCCAGGAGGCTCACATTTACCATGTGTTCGATTTTCCGCAGCCCAGCAGGGACACAATGTGAAAGACAATCTGAAAAGTCTGCTTCACTATAGCTGCTTCTACAAGCTTGGAATGGAAAAGCGTTCCTCACTCCGAAGCAGCCATCCCTTTACTCTAGCTCATTCTATGCATGCTGATGAGTCTCCTATCCTTTTTATCAAACCAATCATGTAGCCACATGTTACCGCTGGCTATAATCCAGCTTTCCCTATAGACACATGCACGAACACCAAATGTGATTTCTTCCAAATGTGAACTGATATTACCAACTTACTCACTGCCTTAGGCTAAACAGTGAATATCACCAAATGTCACATTTTATAGGTTGTATCCTCAGACATGCACTGTGTGGAATGTGGTGTATAATCAGGCTTCAGAAATGTACTGAAACAGAGTTTCTGAAGTCTAGATAATACCTTTCATTCAAATGGAGGGAAAAGCAGGTGGAAAGGCAAAATAAAGAGCATTGCAGGGAAAAAGAACTCTCTTACCCAGCTCATCAAAGTGTGTGTCGATGCCATTGGGTCCTGCCACCGAGCAGATCAAATGAGCCTTCAGAAATGAGCTCCACCTATTCACCAACATTCGCTGACCACCCTGGTCATTCTAAAAGGCAATGTGAAAAGAGAGACAGTTGCATACATTAATTAGCATTCAACTTACTTTTTACTTAGCATTTGACAGTAACTTGCTGCTGTCACTTCTAACCTATTGGTCATGAAATCTTTAATCTTTAGTTATTTAAATTGTATATTATCACTGTTGTAACAAAACTTTATATTTACAAAACAGTAATTTTAAAGAAGAAGGAAAAAGGTTTATTAACTTTTATGTATTTGCAATTTCTATTGGTCCATTTGTCAAGAAATGCAAAATGCAAAAGTCAGCTGACATTTAAAAATAATCTTTTGAGGTTTTGATATGACAACAACAATATTTCATATGTTCAAGCTTCAGAAATCAACAGCCTCTTGATACTTACAGCACACACTCTGGCCACTCTGCTGTAGACGGCCTTATGTCCTCTCTCTGTGTTGGGCACTCTCTCAGTGAAGAAGAAGTAAACTTTGTCATCTGCAGGGTCGTCGTTATCAGGGATCGCCACAGATCCTACAAACTTGGGCTCTGAGGAAAAATCCAAACATAAAATAAATGTGGCTTAGTGTAACAATGTGTAAATCTCGTAGGACCTGTGTCCACTTCCTAGGAACTACACAAATATGGGAAGAAAACTGTGCAAGTAATTTGAAGCACTGACTAATTAGTTATATCTGTTTGTCTTATAAAGTGATATAGGAAATACTAGAAGGATCCACCTGAATAATACTGAGTATACTGTTGCTGTCTTATCAAAACCTTGTAACATGTTTTTATTTTTTTTATTACACCATTAGAAAACCTGCTTCCCAACAAACAGACCATTTGGAGATATAAGGTCTGTTATGACAGCATCTATTTGTGTTAGCCAGAGTGTGAGGCTTTAAGCTTCTAACTGAAAGTGTGAAACAATTATTACCATTTCACTATTTTAGTGCAGCCTGAAAACACTTAACACTCAGTTAACACCTTTTAGAATATTTACAGGCCTTAGCCTTGGTTTAAATGTATTGTACACACCCCCGCACATGTACACACAGGGTAATGGTTTCCATGGGGCTGCGAGGCCTCTGTTTTGCACTGGTGTTTGACAGAATGGTAGGCCTCAGTGGAACTGCCTTTGAATGTGTTTGACTGTGTTTGACCAGATCTGAATGGCTGTGAAAGGGTGTCTGTAAGACAGAGCGGGCATAGATGGATGGTGCTTGTCATGGATGCCTTTCTGCTGCTCTGTATGATTAATGGCCAAACAGTAGGGGGCTTAGACTACAACGACCCCCCTACAGGTAAGGACTATACTGCTTTATGCTTAGACACACTGTCTCTTTGTTGTATGCGCACATATACATATAAACACAGACACAGACATACACCAAAGCAGAAGAATCAAACACCTGCTATAAATCTAACATAATGGCAGTAGACAAGAAAAGGTGGCTTTGCTTCATTCCTGTGTTTCAGATGGTAAAGGCATTATCATCTCAGCTAGAGTGCACTCTACTAAAGCTCTGGGCTTCTGTGTGGCAATATAAATAGTGGAAGGTTAGTATATTTGGCAGAGGCGACCATTAAACAAGCTCCCAGCATGACACTGCTGGCCTCTCTGAACCTTGCACAGAATGGCCCTAAACTCAATCAACATCAGACCTGGGCACTAATGTTGATTGATGACTGAGTGTGATTTAATACCATGTTCACTCTCCTGCTCTTGAGGTCTGTGTGCGTATGTAGGCGTGTAGGTTGTGTGAGAGCTGTTTTTGCTCAGCATACAACAGCATACTATATTCTTCTATGACGGGAGCGCCCATCTGCACTTATGGAAATGTAGTCTCCTGCAGAGTTTGGTTCCAGCCCTAATCAGCCACACCTGCCTGTAATGTTCAGATGCTCTGAAGACTTGTCTTAACTGGATCAGGTGGGTTAAATTAGGGTCTAGACCAAACTCTGCAGGAGAACAGGACATCTGTCTTTATGTAATATTAATGGAATGTTGTTGAAATCTAGTCATAGAGTTTAAGACAACTGTACAGTTCAGAGTTTTCCTACTCCTAAAAACACATTAAAGGTTTCTTTCTTTTGGTTCCCTAATAAACCATGCTTGAAAAAGAGATCTGTGTCACTGAAGAACCTTCATGTAATGTAAATGTTTTTCCTAAACCTTTTATATTATGTGAAGTTTCTTTAAACTTTAAACAAGGTTCTTCACACTCATCTAATTCTGTCTCATTTACAAAAATGGTTCTCTAAAGAGAGAGAACTGAAAAGTGGTTATTCTGTGGCATCACACAGAGAACCATTTTTGGCACCTTCATTTATAAGCCTGAACATACATGATTCAACTAAGTGATATAAGTCCAATTTAAAAAATACTCTTGTATTTTTTAACTTAATCTCTATCTACCACATCTGTGTTGTACAGTCAATAGCCAGGAATATTAGCTGCTTCAGCAACTACTGCCCATTGGCTTGTTATAAATATGTTTTGGATTTTCTGTTTTTTTACAGGAATTGAAGACATTTTCCATGTTAATCAACTGCATGCCGCATACCGTTGCTGTCTCAAAAAAAACAAGTATTTCTGTTTTTTGGTTTTCTTTTTTTTTCCAACATTAGAGCAGAGACTGCCCTTTACCTTGTGTGAAAACATAATGATGAACAGACTAAGAGAAATGCCCCAAAATTGCTTGGAATAAGATCTCTTTGGATTAACGTACATTTTAGCAAAAGAAAGTTTTCGCCTTCTTTTGCAAAGTTGCCATCTTTGAAGATATTTGAATTTTTTTGGACAGATGATAAGCAGCATATAAAGATTAGGACGAAAATATAATATGATTTAGCACTTTTTATTGCATTTGCCTTGAGTAAAAAAGTGACTGGGTGAAAGTGTCAGTGAATGAATGTGTGCGTGACTGGGGGAATGTTTTGTGAATACTTGTGCATTATTAGTCTTAGTGCTGTGTTTGGTGTACTTTTTCTCACCGTTCAGCTGCTGTCTGTCACCAACTTCTGTTCTAGTGTAGCCATGGTTGCCTAGGCGATACAGCGCTGCATCATTCTCCCAGTAATCAGTGTACAGACCTACAAATAGTTGGCCTCCTGTTGACCAAAAAAAGACCAAAAAGAGGTCATTCGCAATGGAAGTGGACATCTTATGTAGTTGTTCATTTATTATCTTCAATAAATACTCTAGCAATGGTGCTTGGTTAGCTCTTTACTTCTGCTATGAACAATATCAATGCAGGTTCAGAATGAACTTCATTGGCCACTTTAAAGAGCTTAATTACACTCCATGTTGTTAGTCTGCTATTCTTTAATATACCACAAGGTGGCAGCAAAAGCACTAGTGAAAAGAATAACTTGTTAATGATCTCTTTTCTCTCTGAGTCAATAATAAACTGTGTCAAAGCTTAGGCATAACAATGTCAAGAGAACTATCAAATTAACGTCTAAATCTGCACGGTTATAAATGATACAGGCCTAAAGGCTTAGGAACTGCTGAAATGGACAGGATTAATGATCCACTAAAGGCCTTTCTAACCGTTCGTAGGAGAGAAACTCCTCATAACTCAGCCTCCAGTTCTCTGTTCCCCTCTGCTCAAATCCCTGTCTTAATCTGGGAGGTCTGATTGAGTGAGTTGATGGATTTGACTTGAAGTGTTGTGTGAGTGAATTCAGGGGAGGTGGAGATCTTGAACAGCTGAATGGCTGCTTGAAGCTCAAAAACACACAGCACTCTTTGTGGAGCAAAAGAGAACACACACACTTTGGAAAGGGATAGACAGAGAGGAGGAGTGAGAGTGAATGTGACACAGAGGGAAAGAGAGCAACAGAGAGTTTGCATGTTAGTGTTAGTGCTTACTGGACACAGTGGAGATTGTGGGGCTGTTGGGATGGAAGGGAGATTTCCCTCTGCCACTCTCTATATGCTCAGACTCCAGATGAAAAACTCTGTTCTGCTGAAACACACGCATACATAGGTTTTAATACAATGCCAGGATGTAGGGTCATACGTACCTGCCCACACAGAAAATATATTCTATTTACATTATAAGACAACATGTAATACTATCTCACATTTTCATAGTGCAAATATACAGTATATGTTCAAAAGTTTGTAGACAGGAGTTTTTTCTCTCCTTGCTGCAGTAACAGTCTTTGTTATTCTGTGAAGTCTTTATAATAGATGTTGGAACATTGCTGTGAGGATTTGATTGCACTCAGTCACAACAGCATTAGTGAGGCCAGCTACTGATGTTGGATGCTCAATTCTGAATCACAAACGTCACGCCAACTCCCAAAGGTTTGGATGGAGCTCCATCACTCCAGAGAACGCAGTTCCACTGCTCCTCAGCCCAATGCTCTACACCCCTGTAGTCGACTTCTGGCATTGGCAAGGTGCTCCAGAGTATCCTGTTCTTTTAGTGCTGCTTTTCTGTGAGGACTGGTGAAGCTAGTTGAGTGCAATTTAATGAATGTCTCAGCAATGGGCGCACTTTTAATTACCCGAAATCACTAAATAGATTAGGGTGAAGGGTGAAGTTTCCAATTTTAATCACCAGTGTCCAGTGAGAGCAACAGTGGCTGCATGTTCCCACCAATGAGTGTATATATTACATACACAGAGCAGCTACTTCATTAACTACGCCTCCTTGTATATACATTCATCAGCCTATTTCATCAGCTCCACTTACCATATAGCTGCATATCATATTTCTACAATTAGACTGCAGTCCATTTGTTTTTTTCTGTACACTTTGTTAGCCCCGTTTTTTTTTCAATGGCCAGGACCCCTGCAAGACAACCAAAGAGCAGGTATTATTTGAGTGCTGAGAATGATCCACCACCCAAATAATACCTGCTCTGTGGTGGTCCTGTGGGGGTCCTGACCACTGAAGAGTATGGTGAAGGGGGTTTAACAAATTAAGCAGATTAACAGATGGACTACAGTCTGCAACCTTTTATGTTGTGTGAACATTTCATGATAAATATTTTACTAGAAATAATTAAAATGGCTTAGAATAAAATATTTATGTACGTTAATGCAAAGCATCGTTATTTACAAAGACACCATATTGGAGATAATGGGCTGTTGTTGTGTTTCACCATTAAACATCCCATGTAGTCCAGGTTTAGGCTTAATCTAGGTTTGGGAAAAGGGCACAACCAAAAAGAAATGGTTTTGCTTTTTCAGTTTTAAACAATGAAATGTGTAGCTTTTGTAAAAAACACTTTACAAAGCCAGAAGAAATTGGTTGATCCTGTAATTGCTTGTTTTTCTCTTTTTTGTACAAAGTTATATCCTAAACACATACCAAAGCAAGTTCACACATATGCATATACACAGAATAAAGCCTTTTAAAATCCTTCTTGCTTGTGTGAGAGCCATTGCAACAACGATCTGAGAAAATCTTAAAGACATGCAGAAGTTTTTTATTCTTTTTCAGAAAGCAGTCTTTCTGTATTCTGTTTGCCTTATCTGGTTGGTTCGAACAGTAATGTGGTTTATGGTGGAGGGCCTGGGGCCATTCCCATGCTGCTGCTGATAGCTCCTCTGCTGTTTGTGCCAGAGCAGGACGAGTGGGACATCAGACAGAGCAATTCATCAGCCCGTCTGCCAGCACTATAATACAGCCTAACCCACAGGTTAATCTATTCACACTGTCACGATCAGCCTGTATTACACTACCAATCCATCACGCACACACACACATGCAGACACACACACACACACACACATACAGAGAGAAACTCCATTTCACACTTACACACTCCATTTTCAATAATCTGATGGGAAATATAACATCCAGGTGAATCACTAGACAGTGAAATGAGACTCTACTAAGAAAATGAAGACACACACTGCGCAAACACACACTGCTGCAGCCCCACCTACACATGACTGGTTGTCCTAAAGAGTTAGTTCTTTTCTACCTTAATTGTAATAGTTATAGGGTGTTAGTTAAAACATGTGTTTTGCAGTGTTTCAGCTCTACTCACACAATAGTTTTACTGTACTGTGGGACTGCAGTTTGAACTAATTCAGTAGAATGGCCCATATAATACGCCACAGACAGGCAAAAAACACATATAACTGATCTGCTTTTCCATTGCTTAATATAACACTCAAAATGAAAGAAGCATGGGAGGCATATATGCACAAAACGTGTTCCACCTAGAGCTTAAATTCTATAATTCAGAGTAACTATGAATACGGTTGCTATCTTAAAGGTGATTTCTAGCTTAAAACTAGCATTAAATATGTAACCTTTCATGTAATAGTCTGTAGTGCAACACTGCATCCCTCAGCCTCACTGGTTTGACAGAACTCACAGTTTTGCATCTCATGTGTTCGTCCATCAAAGTCCTCTTACTACAATACCCAGCACGCATTATGCAAATATGTCTACAAGCATAGACAATGTTCTCCAAGATGGTACAGAGACCTGATTACAAGCCCAGCCACTAATATAGAGGCTAATAAATAGTGACATTTGGTTTCTTAGCAGCAACTTTAACTATCTGGCTTCCTTCTGCATTCACCAGGTAGCAGAAAAAAAACAACAATAACAACAAAGATTTTGTTAGACAGCCTGCCCTCAAGTATCTGCCCCAAAGTGCTTGTAATTTTTAGAAATTCTACAGAGATACATCATCTGAAGGGGGTTTACCAAGTCTTTAAACTGTAAAACCAAGCTCTAGAGACTTTCTACTGCTGTAGAAAGTTAGTAGATATGCTTTTACAGATGCAGTAATGCTTAAATTTCTCATTTTGACCAGAGTTTCCTTTTAAGAAAACCTTGTGTCACCAAAACATTAACATTCTAGGAAAATTAAAAAATGTATATATATATATATATATATATATATATATATATATATATATATATGACTGATGGAATTTTTCATGGTTATGGTCATGGTTCAAGAAAGGTTCAGGCTGGTAAGCTGTTGTGAAGGTATATAACTTTCATTGAGGGCCACAGTGTGTGCAGGTATTTGTTCCAACTCAGCACCATCTGATCTCCCTACTTAACAGATATCCTGAACAAAGAAGGTAAACTCATTAGTGAAAGTGGGTGACAGCACAGGGTTGAAATGAATACGTGCAGTCTCCATGACCCACCATCTGCACAATAAATAAAGAGTTAATATTTTAAAGTCAGTATAATTAAAAAAGAAAAGGGTTGTATCATGGCTGCTGGAACTACAGGGGTGATGCCCTACCACTTTTTGATTGATCAGGATACGTACATCTCCCCTCTCCCTAAACTGCAAGGACCACTGACCTACAGGCACAGAGAGTCAAACTCAGTGGCTGAACCAATCAAAATCTCCATTTTAAAGCCACATTAATACATTAAAATAGGCATAGGAAGTCTGGGGCATTTGGCTCAAATAATGCACAAAAACGTGTTTACTTTTCAGGTTGTTTTGGCTACTGCACATGTGATATGTCAGCTTACGGCTAGCTGGCTGTTTTAATTGAAGGGCGGAACTTTCCATGTAAACAAAAGTCAATTAGAGCATTATGAGTGGTCTCATTTTCAATGGTGAACTAGTCTCCTCCTGCTTTGTAATGTACCAACTTTGGAGGAACTCAGTGAGACCGCAGGCTCAAAACATACTCGTTAAATGCTCATTAAAGGGGTTTATTGGGACATGTTCTAATATTATTCTATGATATATATTATATGAAGTGCTGAAAGTTACATTTGCTTAGTCAGTCTGTGGCCCAGTTGTCTATTGCCAGTCAAAGAAATTAGCACATTTCTTTTTTTCTAAAAACCAATAAATTTTGCCCCACTTTTGGAGGGGTACCCCTGGGCTGTATACACAAGAGGCAGTTCTATGGAGATGGCAGTCATACATCACAACTACTACTATGACTCACACACATGCACAACACTCCTTCTTTCTAACACGTGGTTAACATTTGCAGGGCATAGTGTGATCAGACTCCCTGCAGTTAGAGGCTGGAATGTTAGAACAGTGATCACCTATGAGACTGAAAATTCAACAGTGTGTTTGTGTGTGTGTGCAGGGCTGGGGGTAGCAGTGGGTTAAGAGGCAGATTTAGCAGGGTGAGGGGTGGATGAAGTACAGACTGTAAGGAAAATGATGTGAGTGGAAAGATAAAGGAAATATGTGGGAAGGTGATACAGATCTCATGGGGCCTGTTTACAATAGGAGACAGTGTGGAAGCACTATGATGTGCCACATTTGTGCACATCAACAGAGTCACATTAATATTGATATATTTATATTATTTTATATTAATATATTTGATGAACCATGCACATATAATTATGTAAGTGCATAATTAATCACACAGTTAGTTACATAAGGAATTACACATTCAAATTATACTCTGTATCACCAGCCTCTAGCCTGCACTTCAGACCTTTACTGTTTGTTTCAATGTTGACAAACGACATAATTAATTATAATTAAATATCCCCTCCTCTTCATTAAAGCACATATGTGTTATCTATTAAAAGTAAGAATAAGCCTGTGACAGTCTGACTCTGATTAATTATTTGGGTAGGGTTTCCCAAAAGCATGTTACGACAAAAATGATTATTAAATGGTAGAGCGCACATCACACTGACACTCTCTCTGCCATTTAAAGGACCCATATTATTGCATTTTACTTTTGTCCCTGAGGTCAACTTACAATGTTTGTGTAGTTTTATGTACCAAAAACATAATTAATTTTTACATGATCATTTTTAAACAACTCTTTATCCCTTAGAATAAACAGACTGTCTTTCTTACAGTGTCTTTAAGACTGAAATATGTAACTGACCTCCGCTCAGTGTGAATGGGCACGGCTAAACCTCTGTAGGCTGAATAGGTGGGTATACGAGAATGTTTTGACATCACAGAAACAATGAATTCAAAACAGGCTGTTTGTGCAGTTTATTTGCCATATATGGACCATAAGGACTGGTAACTGAACATATGTTTTGAAACAATTTTTACATACTACATCTAACTCTTATTTAAAATGCTATCTTGGTTTTGCATGACATGAGCCCTTTAAGATGGTCTTAAACCTAGATGCTTTTGAGAAACTGGGCTCTGATTATCTGAATGAACCAAATCAACATTATATTTGTTACAGTGTAAACATATGCTTATGAAAGCTAACAATGGTGGAAAAATAACTGTGGTCAGCTTAAACAATTGCAATTAGGTCACTGTGTTATGATTACAATGGGCCCTACACTCTAAAAATGCTTCTTCAAGGGTTCTTTAGTAAAGAAAATGGTTCTACACAGAACTATGAACACTTGAAGAACCCTTTTTATGATTAAAGGATTTTTTGAATCTTAAAAGGGTTTTCGAGATTTATGGAGAATGTGCTGTAGATGGTTCTATATAGAACCTTTTTGAAAAGGGTTCTGTATAGCACCAAAAAGCGTTCGTATATTGTAACAAGCTTGACATTGTAACAAAAGAAGAACCCTTCTGGGGTGCTGTATAGAACCGCTTTAAAAAGGTTCTATATAGAACCATCAACAGCACATTTTTCTTCAAGCCGAAGAACTCTTTATGATGCAAAGAAACCTTTAATCATACAAAGGGTTCTTTGAGTGTTTACGGTTACCATTTTTTTTACTAAAGAACGCTTGACGAACCATCTTTTATGTGTAGTTTAGAATGTGCAATTTTATATCATTGCGATGTGATGATAATGTAATAATTGTTATGGTCTAGTTTAGAGTCTGCAATTTAGGCAAAAATTCTCTGCTTATTTCAATGAGCTACAAATGAGAATGAAATGTAACAAGACGCGTTTATGCCATATTCACCACAGGGGACCTAGGAGGGTTAGAGATAAAACAGACCAGGAACAGCAGAAGGCATGTAAATTTCTCTCTCACTCTGGTTCTGTTCTTTGTCTGCTGCTGTATCAGTCTCTCCTGTCATCACATGCACATCTGCACTATATCATCCCATCACTGAGAGTGCAGTCCTCTCACTGTGGGTGTGTGAGCATGTGCTATTGTATTAAGTGTATATATGTGTGTGTGCATGTGTTTATATCCATCTGTTTTGTGTGTTCATATTAGAGGATGGAGGCCACTAGCCTTTGGACACACACTTGAAGGGTGTGTAAACCTGAAGGGTTTACTGGTTTGCCTGCAGTTCAGCAGAGGGGTTATCAGCTGTCCTGCTGAAGCTGTCTCCTCTAATTCCCCTCGCTCTGATCTCCTGCCCACCATGACCCCTCCAACTCAGTTCCAGGCTCATAAAGCTCCGAGGTATATCCTCATCTCTAGCTGTGCTTCTTGTAATCTAGAAGATCAATGTGGGCTTGGGATTCCCCGTACATAAGCCATGCAGGTTCCACCCCTAGAAGCTGTAGTTAACAAAAGCAGTGCAATTTCATTTTCATTATTTCTCACTCAGAGCTCATTGAAACAAGTAGAGACATTCAGTTAGAGGTACAGATTCTAAACTTTCAATCAGCATCATATTTATGTTTGTAGGTAGAAGAGGGGATACTTTATTATGATCTGAATTTGATAAAACGTTTGAATGGATTGTGTGGGAGAAATAATTAAACAAAATGTACAAAGTCTTGTTTAAATCAAATTAATTACTATGTTATTACTTACATAATAACTCAACTTCTAACAGTTAAAGGGAAAAGCCACTGATTATTTAACATTTCTTTGTAATTAAATCATTAAGATACACATCAAAAGTCAGAACTGTTCACAGTAGTGGTGACAGGAACAAGATTTCTAAAGCAATGCCTCTAAAAGCTACCTCACAAAAAGTTATCATACAAAATGATTGTAAATAAGCCGCACAATGCCTGACACATTGTTTTATGATTGTTTTGAGAGAATGTTTTGGCTTAAAACTTTTTAAAATGTATGTACAGGCAGAGCATTTCAAGGTAAAATAGTACCCAAAGAAAACTTTTTATTATTTTATTATTACTATATTACCATATACACTGTTTTACCATTCTCAACATTACATATAAAAACACATAAGACACTTAGGATCATTTTGGAGTGTAAATGAAATGGCTATATTTGCTTTGTAAACATTATGATTTCTGGTTACTATCACCACCACTGTAAAGAAAACAGAGTCTGCAAATTTCTCTAAAATGCATCATCTCACATTAAGTGACTGAATCACAATTCATGATATAACAACTGAATTATGCATAAAGCTTGAAAAATTGGTGGACTTTCCCTTTAAAATCAAGGAGATAATATAGTGACTGTAACAAAGTGGTTTAAGCCAGTCAGATGTTTCTAACAGCTGGAAAAAAGCTCTTTTCCCGCTCAGCCTTTCTGTCTCTTTCAAACAAACTTGTCTTGCCTTTGCTTTTCTTCTCTGCGGCTCCTTCAAATAAACCTCCATCCCCTGTGATTAGCCACTCTGTAATTTCAGTGGGGCTCTCCGGGGAGGATGAGACTGTTTGTTTTTGCTTGTCTGACTGTTTAGTTGCAGATTTGGACGGGGTGAGAATGATACAACTTCCCCTGACACACACACACCAAAACAAACTCCTTTCGAGACCAGGCTCGCTGTAAGAGTGTGAAGAGGCTGAGAGTTCACTCTGCAGGGCCATGGCTGACATTACTATCAGTATATTTTACATTAAGCCTGGGGTGGAACAGTTTAAGCCTTAGGGATAGTTTAGACTATAGATTGCCGAGAAACAGCATCTAAAAAGGAATCTAGAAAGCGCCACATCATAAGCTTTCAGGGATACACGGTGGATTAAGCAGTGACTTCATATGACCTGTCTAAAGAGGTAAAGTGACACAGTTGTGGAAGGAGGAGTTTCCGGCATGTATTTTTATGACAGAATACTGGAATACCACAAGGCTCACTCATGAGTCACTGTGACACACACTCCAGCAGAAGAAAACAAGTCCATTCCATGACACATGTTTTTAATGAGCACCAGAGAGGACTTAAGCACAATGCCAGAGCAGGGACATTTCACCGACCATTACTCCACTTCTAACTACGCCTGTCCGCATCGGGTGCATATAAAAACTTTAACAATTCGGCGGTCACATGTTGAAAACAGGTTCAGGCAGGCTTGTTTCCTTCTGTCATCCACACTTAAAACCTTAAGCCTTAAAACATTGTTTTACTCACATCAATACAGCCAACAAAACAACATTTTCTACATATTCCTCTATATGTGACTCACTGCTGCAATTCAGTAGTGCTGTGGAGTCAAAACTACTGTACCTCCATTCCCTGGCTGACTCTGATGTAAGCACATGCTGGGCTAAAGGCTCCAGTGCCACACGTTAACAGGTGAGTGCTGTTATACTGCTGAATCAGCTTGATGTAGTTAGCACACTCCGGCTGTGAAAGAGAGGAAAATATATTTTATAATGTGCAGACATCTAACTATGCTTCACCCACAAATGTATTCTTTCATAGCTACTGTTAACAAGGTTAGGCTTTAAGTTGGTCAAAATCCCTTCAACTTAATGAAAAATTGAAACACAAAGTATGTAATTTTAGAATTGTTTTCAGTTTGCCTAGTTTTGACTAGTTTCCTAGTCCTAGTTGGCTAGTTTAAAACACTATGCTATCAAGTTGCTAAAGTTAATTAGTGAATCTAAACAAATACTGTATGCCAGGGGTGCACAACTCTGGTCCTCGGGGGCCAGTGTCCAGCACAGTTCGGTGTTTTATCTACTCAAACACAAGTGCTTACACATACCTGTTAACCCCCCCTAAATAACGAGGGTCCAAAGTTTCACTACCAACTTCTATAAGCTAAGAATAGCTCAACCAGTTTGCACTGCAGTCCCTGCAGTTACTGAACAATAAGCCTTAGTATGTAAAAAGCCTATGATTTAAAGGGGTTAATTGCCCAGGTTTAGTGGGTGTGTCTGAGTAGGAAATCCTCCAAACTGTGCTGGACACCACCGCTCCAGGACCAGAGTTGTGCATCCCTGCTGTAAGCAATTAAAGTAAATATTCAAATAATGAATCAGGATTAATCATTCTTTTTTGTGTAGTTAATCGTGATTAATCACATTTGTCTTGTTTGCTCAAATTTGACCCTAAAGAAAGTTTTTTCCACTTAAGCTGCAGTGCATTATATTGCAGTTGAATGAGTGGACATATAGCTTTAGTACAATCTATTTACTTTTAATAAATCAATAACATTACTTTCATCATGTGAACAATAAACTCATGTGAACGCAGCATAAACATGAAAAAAAGGTGAACAGTTTTCAATTTTAATCACCAATGTCCACTGAGAGCAACAGTGGCTGCATGTTCCCACCAATGAGTGTATATATTACATACACCAGGCAGCGACTTCATTAAGTACATCTACTTTTATTTACCCTTATCAGTCCATTTGATTAGCTTCACTTACAATATAGGTGCACTTTGTAGTCCTACAATTACAGACTGTAGTTCACCTGTCTCTCTGAATAATTTGTTAGCCCCGTTTCACCCTGTTCTTCAATGGTCAGAACCTCCATAGGACCACCACAGAGCAGGTATTATTTAGTGGTGAATCACTCTCTGCACTGCAGTGACACTGACGTGGTGGTGGTGTGTTAGAATGCATTACGCTGGTACAAGTGAATCAGACACAGCAGTGCTGCTAGAGATTTTAAACACTGTGTCCACCGACATCAGTCACACCCATCTTGTTGGTCCACTTTGTAGATGTAACGGTAACTGGTGCTGCACTGTATGTGTTAGTCATTCTCTAGTCCTTTCTCAGTGGTCAGTCCAGCAGTGACACTGAGGTGTTTAAAAACACTCACTTCACAGGTCACCAATTCATCCATGTCACTGCAGTGCTGAGAATGATCCACCACCCAAATAATGCCTGCTCTGTGGTGGTCCTGTGGGGGTCCTGACCATTGAAGAAGAGGGTAAAAGGGGGCTAACAGAGTATGCAGAGAAACAGATGGACAATAGTATGTAATTGTAGAACTACAAAGTGCACCTATATAGTAAGTTGACATTATAAACAACTTTCCACATTTTAAACGTTAGAGATTTTAAATGCATTTTACCTTTTCCCTGCCCTGCATGAGACACTCCTCCACCTGCTCCTCAGAACTAGCCCAACGAATCTGAGAGAGAGAGAGAGAGAGAGAGAGAGAGAGAGAGAGAGAGAGAGAAGAGAAAAAGTGAAGAGAAGTGGTAACTCCCTCAGCGTAGGGTTAAGGTAGAGGAGAAGTTTACTGGTGATTTCCAAAGTCTGGGGAATGATCTCATTGTGTCCATTACTGGTATATGGGGCAATGAACTGGTCACATATGCCAAATTTCCATTTCTTACTGAACTAAACACATTCACAGAGCTGTTTTCATGGGCCTAACATTAATGGGCATGTACATACTGCTGCACTGTCTGTGGTGTTCTGACCAAAGCTAAGCAAACAGTCATTCTCAAAAGCATGTAAACCATGGCAGATTTTAAGGGCAAAACATCCTCATTAGCATAGAGTGTTTATGGCTGAGTGGGATATAACCTTTCTGCCTCTCTATTTTTGTCTACTCAGTCACTCTGTTACCCTCTGTAATACTATCTAAAGAAAGATCTTTTAAAGAGAAAATAGGACATCATTATAGGCTCTTTAACTACTACACCACTCTTATAATTGTTAGCCAATTATTGCTAATATGTTGAATATAATATTGCACATCATTATGTCGTTGGCAATGGTTATGATTATATAAAATATTGGTCATTTACTAAAGTTGTTTAGTGGTTTCTCATTTCTTTCAAAGTCCAGTTTATGAAATGCTTTATTCTGATTTGTCAACTGAAATAAGTAGCACTCAACTAAGGTCATGTCCTATAAGCAATTTAAAAGAGGGCTCTAGTGTTTTTGTAGCATCTGTAGTACAGTTGATTACCACCTTTCCTTGTGCTTAGAAAACAACAGAAAACCTACTGACACAAAAACAAACACGTAATATAAAACAAAGCAACATTTTACTTGAACCCTGTTACATAACATTGACATAACCATGCCATAAGCATGTCATTGCAGATGTTAATGCTGTCATGAGTTGTCATGATAAATCTTGTTCAATAATATAGCAGTGTCATGTTACTATTATCAGTAACTGTCATAATAGACATTCAAACAAAATAAAGATGAAACAGAAGCAAAGCAACGCAACTAATGGACAATGAATGAATAAGTAAATAGAACAATAAATATATAAATATCTAAATAAATAAACAACACAACTCGGTAAAAGACAAAAACACAAAAGACAAGACGGACCAACTTAAAGAAAGACCCAAATGCCTAGGAAAATACACACGTTTTTAAACTGGATTTAAAATGCCTATTGTGGAGGATGATCTTATAAAAAAGGGTAAGCTGTTCCATAAAGTGGAGGCTACTGCAGAACATGATTGATCATCTTTGAATCTCAGCCAAGACCTTGGAATAGTTAGGAGCGACTGATTAGATGAGGTGGAAAGCAAACAGAGAAGGCCAGAAATATAGTTTAGTGCCACCACATGGAGAGATAAAAAAAATGAGACCTTAAAAGGTAATTCCACTGTTCATTATTATTTTTTTCAAACATATCTGCATAATTAAATGGCTAAGATGTGAACAAAGTCATTCAGAGTGGTTTGATGTGAAATTCTCTGTTATACAGAAATTTTTGAGTCAGAACCGTTCACAGCAGTGATAAATGGAACCAGATGTCTGAAGCCTCTAAAAGCTCCCTCACACAAAACTATTAAATGATTTATGAATGTTTTATGAGCATTTTTCTCTTCTGTGTAGTTAATCGTGCTTTACCGCTGTTTTAACATTATCAGTAGTACATATAAAAACTCACCGGACACATGTAGGTTCACAAAATAAAAATGGCTGTATTTGTGCTGTAGACATCATTACTCCTGGTCATCATGGCCCTCCTATCACTACCACTGTAGAGAAATCTGAGTAAGTTTCTGTGCAATGCACCATTTCACATCAAACTCTAAATATCTTTGCTGGCATTTTAATGATTGATGAATAATGCAGACATTTTGAAAAAATTAAGTGCAGTTCTCTTCAAAACTATATTCTGTATCTGACTGGTAACCACTGAAGGGAGACACACGAGATGTCCTATTCCTTTTTGTATTAACAGGCAGAAGCCTAGTTGCTGCATTCTGGATGAAGTGCAAGCGAGACAGTGTTGACTGACAAAGTCTCAAGTAAAGGGCGTTATATTAATCCGTACATGAAAAAATCAAAGCATGAATCACAGTTTCCTGATCAGTGAATGACAAGATACAATTTGGTTTGGCAATACCCCTTAGCTTGAAAAAGCTGCCTCTCACTGCTGTGCTAACCTGCTTGCCAAAGTTTTGAGCACAGTCAAAGACAACTCCAAGATTTTTGTGAAGCTCTGTATGCCATTGAATCCGTCAGCTAGTATTACTTCTGTCTTGTCATCATTTTACTGGAGAATGTTCAGACATTTAATATTAGTAAGACAAACAAATGGAAGGTGTAAAGAGCTGTTATTATTGGGTTAAAACATGCTGGAACATTCCATTAACATTACAGACACCTTAAAAACAGAGACAGAAAGACAGCTAATGACATAGTGTGGGGTGCGTGCAAATGACATACATTTTAATGTTACCAAGACGCCAATTCACCTGTAACACTGCAGTCATGACCTGTAGGACACAAAAAAACACACACACGTGCATATGCGCACACACACATATACGCACACATAGCCCTACCTCTCTGTGAGGTGCGCTGACTCTGTCCAGGTTAAGAGAATAGAGGATGTCTTTGCCACCAATGATCAGTCTCTCCTGAGTCTCATCCAGCAGCATACTGTAATGTTGTAGAACCCCATCTCCAGCCTGGAACACCCAGGTCCTGTTCAAGTCCCAGAGCTCTACATATGCACAGGAAACACAGAAAGAACACTGTAAGTGACATCATGGAGGGATCAACAGATTACGGTAATGAGAGAGCTTTATCCTGAAGCTAGACGTAACAGTGTTGTTGAGGTCTATAGTTTTGGAGTATTCTCTCAAGACCAGTGCAGTCTGAGTGTGGTCACACAGCTGGAATAGGATTAGTCTGGCTATACTTAAGCCCTCAATTAAACACAATGCTTCTCAGAGCAGCATCTGTGTGAGACAGAGAGAAGGAAAAAGCAGATGAATCAAGGTGTACGGTGTCAACAACTTAGGCCATTTCAGCCTTAATTTCCTGACTGTGTGTGAGTTTGGATCCCTACAGCGCTCTTTTTTAAGCCACTCTAGATGCAACCCCCTGATTTCCACTGTGTAAGAGTGTGTGTGTGTGTTTGTAGACCTTTTGGTCATCCACTCTGCTCTAACTAAATCTGTTTGTGATTTCAGGGGGCCTCTAGATGACTCTTCTCTGAAAAATATCAGCCCAGGACCTAACGGGGCCAAACACACACACACACATGACTAGAGGCTGCTCCCTGCTGAGCGGGTTATTTCAGAGGATCACTGACTGCCTCAGTGGAATAGAGGGACAGTATATAAGATGCCTTTAGGGGACAGAACAGGACCGAGCAAGATAAAGAGAATCAGAGCAAATAAACAGATAGACAGGTAGATAGATAGATAAGTAGGTAGGTAGGTAGGTAGATAGATAGATAGATAGATAGATAGATAGATAGATAGATGGATGGGGACATGAATCATCTGAGGGGCTCACAAGACTTGACTCAGACTCACACCCTACAGTCTCAAGACTTGAATTGCTCCCCAAATTCTTAACACTCAACTCGGACTTGCACCCCAGATACTCAAGACTCGACTCAGACTCACACTCTAGATACTCAAGACTCGACTCAGACTCACACTCTAGATACTCAAGACTCGACTCAGACTCACACTCTAGATACTCAAGACTTGACTCAGACTCACACCCTACAGTCTCAAGACTTGAATCGCACCCCAGATACTCGACACTCAACTCGGACTTGCACCTTAGATACTCGACACTCAACTTGGACTTGCACCCAAGATACTCGAGACTCGACTCAGACTCACACCCCAGATACTCAAACCTCAACTTGGACTCAGACCCCAAATATACTCAAGACTTGACTCAGACTCACACCCCAGATACTCCAGACTCGACTTACACCCCAGATACTCAAGAGTCAACTCGGACTTGCACCTCAAATACTGAGAGACTCGATTCAGACTCGCATTTCAGATACTCAAGACTCACATCCTACAGACTCAAGACTTTACTCTCACCCCAGATACTCAAGACTCGACTTGGGCTCACACCCTACAGACTCAAGACTCAAACTCATGACCGTTTTTGATATATGATATAGAATTTTGATGTAGAAATTTTTCTTTACATCCATTGTTTTTAAATTGACATTAATATATAGATGTTATATTAAGAATAGCAAATAATTCTTTCTCCCATAAGTTTAACATTTTAAAGATAAGATAGATTTTTCAGTTTTTTCATTTTTTTCTTTTTCTTTTTTAACATGATTTGAAAATTCCAGCTACCACTGCACACTGAACACTTCAGGATGAATGGACAAACAAACTATTCAAAGTAAGTTCCTCAGCAGTAAATGTTGTATACCAAGTAAAAACACTACATAACATTAGTGTAAATACTTGCAAACATGAAGCGAATACAGTAAAATAGTAAATAGACTTTTTTTGATATGTTAGTTACAAGAATACAGGTTCAGCTCCTGATTTCTTGGTGAAATTTAGAATTTCATCAGCAGCACATAATGTGATACATATATATATATATATATATATATATATATGTATATATATATATATATATATATATATATATATATATATATTATATGTATATATATATAATTTTATGTTAAAATATCTAAATGCAATTAATGTATAGATTAAAAAGAGAAAATATGATTCATGGATATTTGTGAGATTACTATCCTTAACATTATCCATGTGATGTTAATGGTGATGTTATGGTAATTCTGTTGGGGAGTGGTTTTACTGCAAGCTGTTACAAATTATAGTCACCCCAGTGTTTAAGCGTTAAACTCTAAACCCTCTCCACCCTGGCCCTGCAGCGTGGGCTCTCTCTGATGAGGTGTCGGGTGGAAATGGCATGAAAAAGAAGAGAAGCCCGAGAAATTAAGTTTAATAGTGTTTTACCTAAAGCAAAATACACAAGAGAAAATTACTAATAGATCAGGAATGCGAGAACAGCCACAGGGGGTTTTGCTTTTCAATGATTCCGATTAATCTACATTTTCTGCTTTGATGCAAGTCTCCTATTGATGTTTATTTGATCTGACATTTGTTTTATTTATATTAAGTGCATAATGCATGGTGCACTTCCCAAGGGCCTGTCTCTCCCTTAATGTCATTATGAACTTCTTACTCATGTAAAATCTACTCATCTGACCTCATCCTTGAGGTTTCAATAAAACAGAGTACAGTCATTTAAGCCAGATAAATTAGAAAGGCTCAGTATCAGGTGAGGCTGGAGGGTCATCCAGCCCTATCGAACCTGCAGTGTTATGTTCCATTAATCATATCGAGCCATGATGAAGAGGCGTGTGGGTCGTTACTGTTTATGAAGGGGCCGTACGGCCAGAACAAACAGCAAATTACAAATGTCCAACCACAACTCGAAAGCAAACCTTCAACGTACCCCCTTAGGCAATGAGCATTTGAACCTCTAAATAATACTAACTCACTGAGAGCCCCTGACCTGGGCAAAGGTCATACCATTAGGTGCTCCAGGGGAGGGGCACAGCAAGTAGAAATTTAAAAGGAAATCCAACACCATTCATTAACATAAGCATCAAGGCCACAGCACTCTGGGTAATGTGACCTTTTGCAGAAAGCTTAAGGCATTTGGTAAAATTCTACTTATCTTTGATCTTCTTTGGTCAACCAACTACATCCAAAACAACTCACTCAATACTTATACAGTACTGTGCAAAACTCTAGGCACATTAAAGAAATGTGTGTAACTATCTAGGGGAGTAGGTGTGCTTTTGCTTGTAAAAAAGATATAATAAATTTGGCACAATACACATAAGCTGTACTTTAATGAAACCATTAAATTAACATTTAATTCAACCAATAATGTTTTGTTTAAAAAAATGATACCAATATCTTCTGAGATTTATCTTCTAAACATTAGAGAGGTTTGAGGAACACAGGTTCCTGATTTCTCCTCTATGTAGCCTTACTATTGCATGGATTTGTTGAATTACATCACTAGTAGGCCTGATGTATTGCAACGGTTCCATTAAAAAAATCCAATTTACAATATTTTCCTAAAACATAGTTTATCAGCCAAGACACGTTTGCTGTTATTGTTTGCGGTAATTTAGCTAAAATGAAACATCAGTTAATGTTACTCAAAATCTTTGGGTGACACAAGTAGTGTTCAGACAGGGTTAGTTTTACATGGAGAGGGATAATGTAATCTGGTATGTCTCTGTGATTTAGGTCTTGTCCAAATCACCATTTTATTCATTTTTACGGACAGCAAACTCTCTCGCAAATATTCCAGCACTTTACCTTGCCTACTATAAAATAATCCCAGGTTATTTTAATTCTGTGTGAACTGACATGTCATTATAATTGCTATCACGTTCTGTGAAAAAGAGTTTTTGTAATTATGGAAGAACTTAAAGAAGCTTTAACATGGGTTCTTCAAGTCAAGTCAATATGTACTGTCCTACTTACTAAGTGTATGACCCTGAACATTAAAAACATTCAGAGTGCCAAAAGAATTTGATTTTATGCAGTGATTGTTGTTTATTGGCTATAAATTCCCAAGCTAATGACAATGCAAATGACACATTGGTTTTATCTGAGACAGTATGGTAGATGGTTAGGGTAAACAAATAAAATAAACAGCTAAATGAAATCTTTTGACTAGTTTATCTTTTTTTAAGTGAAGGCAATGTGTAAATCGAGTATTACTGTACCACTGTAATTTATACTAAGATTTATCATCCTGTGTGAGCTGGGAGCTCCACTACAAAACCAAAGAGGAAAACTTTAAAGGCAATGCAAGTGTCTAGGACACATGTCCAGGCTAATCAACTACATTTAAGGTGAAGGGAATAACTGTACATTTGATTTTTCTGTGAACCATTTCTTGTGGCTAATGAATTATTTATTAGCTCAACAAGGTACTGGAGTATTGAGCATACTGACTTCGCAACTACAAATAATGAGCTTCCTCGAGGGGATGGTCAGAAATGGTTAAGCTGATGGATATAAATTGATTTGATTACTGTTTATTTGTATACACCTTTACTTTAAGCTTACTGCTCACTCTCAGGTAGGACCTTTAAAGATCTTAGAAAAACAAACTGAATATCCAGAACTCCTGTAGCAAGGATTTTCAGCTCTCCACTCTCTTCCTTGCTAGATGGTATAGTTCTGTGCTAACAGTTGAAATGTTTCTTGTCAGTTGTACTTTGTCATGTTGTCATTTTTGTTGTTTCTGGTTTTCGTCATCAAGCTGTATATAGCAGATGTGTGGATTTATTCAGAAGAAACAGCATCGATCACATTCTCTGTCTCTGGAACTAATAACTGAGAAAAAAGCCACAGGCACTGAAGACAGTGGATAAACTCAACAAACTCAACTCAATAAAATCTCAACACTGATACAGGAAATACACATCTAATGGAATATAGATTGAAATGGAAATGACCCAATGCTTCCCTCAAATCAACGTCCACATGTGCTGACCAGACTCTCACTCTCTCTCTCTTAAAATAAAGACCCATTTCCTCCATCTAAGTCCTCCATGTGGGTAGAGTGAGAAGAATGAGTCGCTCTAAAGGCCGGAAAACAGGCCGGATCTCCCTAAAGAGTCTTTGGTGGACGCAAGAGTCCAGATTTAGGGAGGTG